AACAACATGGTGATCCGTCTTATGTCCTTGTTGGTGAAGCTTCGAGTGGCTGAAACAGCAGGTGCTGCTTCCTCATTAGAGGGCACACGAAGAACGACTGTGACCGACTCTTTAATTGCATGAAGAAAGATTATCGAAAGGTATGAGGCCATTGTGCTTCTTCACACGAAAACCTGAAATATTTGTCTCACCTACTTGCTCCTGCACTACTCTTTCTAGGCAAACATCTATCTTCCCGAAGACATGATAGAGGCTCTTACGCATGAGCAAGTGCAGCCGGTATGGGTTACAGCGGCCGACATGTTTGAGTTCGACAAGTTCGAGAACCAGTACTTCTACAGAATAAAGAGTGGTGTGGACGATAACCACATGTTCGTGGCAACTGCAATGCAGGATAATGGAGCCACACTGTCTATTCAGGAATGGGTAAATGGGCCTACTGTTACCGAAACCATTCTAAAGAAGTCGATCTGTAAGAAAATCCAAAAGCAACCGGAATGGGACTCTAAGCAGAGCTGGCTCCTCCGTATGAAAGAGCTTGAAGCTATCGATCCTATTGGAATTCAAGACATCAAATGGATTGAATTACACGACAAATGGGGGCCTCTCATTCCTGAGGACAAGCGAAAGGAGTTTCAGTGGTACCACGAGGACCCAGGAACCGAAAGACGCGAAAAAGTTAAGAGCAACCGAAAGGCTGCCAAAGGAGCAAGAGCGGCAAGAACCATCACTGGTGATGCTGCTAATGCTGACTGATAATCTAATGGCTGTCTAGTCTATGGAATATAATGAGTTTCTTATAAGGTAACACTATGTTTTGGTGGCTGGAACGCTTGTGAGCTTCATTGTGGTCACTCATTTTTTGTTTTTCGCGTTTATCTCAGCTTCGCGATTCTAGGATCTCCGGACGATGACAGACCGATGGTGGAGGTTTTTTGTGTGATCAGTCTTATGTGTAACTCGTCTTTTGAGGCATTCTAGTGTAGAAATTCCTTTGTTCATGTCTTGATTACTTTATTCTATTTTAATAAAGTGATAGAGCTTCCTGAGTGCCTTAGCTCCAGCAAAGATCTGAGTGCAGTATTAATATACTCCAGCACTCCTAGCTAACATACTACCGCATAGTCTACATGTAGCCAGCTACAGGTACTAATAACGGTACCGGTAGTTGTATCTGATCTGAACATCAATATCCATGAATCTTAAATCGAAGGTACATATGCCTTTATTATGTTGTCAAGTTTGTCTGTCTATAAATACGAGCCTATTTAACGATAACAATGATTGATGTTTTGTTGGTCACATCACGTTTAATAATTCTTGCACCTACATCACCCTCGTGGCAGATCCTTTAAACATAATCCGAACGCTTGTACACGTCAGACCCAAGTTTCCTTTAAAAGTTCTTCAAATGCCTTTTGGCTTTTAAACACCATGTTCTCCAAGATCGACTTTGTTCCTATTTAGAAGGCTAAAAAGAACTCACCGTTGTTACGTCACACCCTTCTTATTTATTGTTCCATCCATGACACGAGCTTGTGAAAGGGAACTCTCAATCTCTGGTCTTTGGCTACTGGTACCATCGCCACCTCAGAAGGCCATGAGACTGTTCCTCGCCGTTTTCCCTTGTTTTGGCTCTCACCTCGTCCCTGTCCCAACCCACTATACCGGTACCAGTAGCTAGCTAGACTCTCTCATAAAACGAACTGAGCATCCCCTCTCACAACGCAATTCGCTACAAGCATGAAGACTATTCGAAAGACTGTGAGCTTTGGTGACTTTTCTGTTGTTGCCGTCCAGAATGAGGTGCGGGAGCGCAGCGCCTTGTGGTACACCAAGCAGGACATGAAGAAGATCAAGGAAGGTTCCTTGTCAGTTTCAGAACATGGCAGCCCTTCTGAACGAAGAGGATTGGGGATTATGGACGATGACTCCTCGGGACGCCGACGAAAGATTGTCAAAAGTGTTCTTGCTCTTCAAGAAGAACATCGGGACCACTGCCTGGACGACGCAAAGGGGTTGCAACGATATGCCAGTGCGCTGAGCAAGGATGCTACAAAGGAAGCCCAGCGACGAGCAACTCAGGACTCGATCGATGCGTTCCAAGTGCTGTCTCCGGACGTCGAACTGTCGCCATATCTGCGAGCCAAGAATGCGGAAGAATACTCCAAGCCCACCAGGAAGACCGTCATGGTGCGACGGAAGACCCCGCCCAAGATTTCGCCCATGCCCCCGTTGGCATAAAGGGTTGAACCCGAGCCCAGGCATCCTTGTAGGAAATCGCTCTCAAGATCACAGTGCCAAGACAAACCAACCGATGAGAAATAACGCTAATTGCTATCCATGAGTAGATGTAAACTAAGGAACATACATAATGTAAATGCTAAATGCTGAACACTGAACTTGAAATACCGGTAGTCATCTCTTGGTAGATGCCGCTCTCAGTCTCCAGACAATTGGCGTCGTTTAGGGGTATCGCTCTCAAGGCCAAAGTGCCAAGACAAACCAACCCATGAGATTTAATGCTAATTGCTATCCATGTGTAAAATGTAAACTAAGGAACATACATTATATAAATGCTGACCACAGAACTTGAAATAGTCATCTCTCGGTAGATGGCACTCCCAGTCTACAGACAAATCCCCTTTCGAAGATTACCAGTAGGATTTGTCAATCTGATCCAGAATTCAAAAAAGAGTCTGGTCCAGAATTCCTGAAAGAGTCTGGTCCAGAATTCCTGAAAGAGTCTGGTCCAGAATTCCTGAAAGACTCTGGTCCAGAATTCCTCAAAGACTCTGGTTCAGAATTCCTGAAAGACTCTGGTGCAGCAATCCTGAAAGACTGAACGCTTCTTGCAATGCTGTGAGCACTGGAAAATCGTATGCGTCGATTGGCTGCGTTGTTCGTATCCCTTGGAGTTAGGTAGACGCGGGCAACAAGGCTGCCAAAGATAAGACCAACCACCATGATATCATTCAACCACACCACAACTGATCTGATAAAAAAACCTGATACAGGATCCTTTCCCACAATTATCAGCACAGGGATGGCAATCACAAAGATCTGAAGATTGGAGAACATGGCAATAGCGATGAACTTGCTGCTGCTGAACTCCTCTGGAATGTGTCTGGCACGATAGCACATATAGGAGGCAACTGCCATGAGCACAAGATGGACAACTCCAATGATGGCAGCAAACACTCTCCAATGGTCAGAGTGGCAATAGCCAACACTTTCAAGCGGTTCCCCAAACTTATCAGAGCTGATTGTTTCTCTGGTCCATTCGAGTGGGTCCACAGCAGTCCACGCAACAAGGATGACAATGTCAACTGTCAAGACCAAACAGACCCAACCAAAGGTTTCTTTTGTAGAAAGCGTCACACGACGCATTTCCACTGCCGATGTCATAAGGACATAGACTCGCCAGATCCTTGCAAACAGGGAACCAAATGTTATACAGAACCCAACACTGTACAACCAGGGCACAGCCATGCAATATCCCTCCTGAGCCTTTCATTGATGAGGAGAAATTGTAAATCGACAGTGAGACATGGCGCCAGAAACAACAAGAGGAATTCATGCCTCTAGAGGCAGGTGGAAGAAATACTCACCATGGCAATAACTGTAGAAGTGCTAATGACTGCCCCAACCAGAACACTTCCAAGGAAGAATGGCTGTGCAGCTTTGAGCTGAGCTCCGTTCCGATTATAAACAACCCATAAGGCAAGTCCAAACGCTGTAACGAATGTAATTGCAACCAAGGTGTAGGCAGTATTGACCAGGCCTGTTGGCAGCAGATTGAGGTTTTCTTCTACAGCAATCGAGCAGTCATCTCCCGACCACTTGGTGGAGTGGCAAACACAAACCCCGTGAGCATCCGCAAAACCGTTCTCTGTTGGATGAATTGAATCAGTAAGGAGACGGGACAGAGATTCTTTATCAGGCACCACCACGGCAATAGTAGAAAAGGAGGTTCCATGGTGCAACAACTTACGAGCATCACAGGGGAGGTCACAGTCCTTGCCAGCAGTTCCAATGGGACATGTTGCAGCTTCAAAATATCTCTTTCGTATCACTTCGATATCACCAGTGCTTCCAGCTTGGTACACCCATTTCTTCAAAAGCCAAGAAACCTCAGGCTGTAGATTTTGCTTCAACGCCCACACAAAGTACTGTGATTGCATATTTTCCTCAAGAACATCCAGGCTATTGTCATACTTGGCCATATATTGCAACACCAACAGGTCATCTACAAACAAGGCACAGTTTCCTTCTTTTACAAACTGGATGCAGTCCTCGGTTTCAGCAGTAGGACAAGGCACTGTCATGGCCTTTGGCATATATGACTTCACCATTTTTTCGACGTAAGTTGCTGGTGGGTAGCAAATCGTGGCACCGGCCTTCTCGGCGTCACTCAGGGACTTGATCTCACTAGTGCCGATCTGTTCGAGGTACTTTAGCACTCCCAATCCAGTGTGTAGCCAAGTTGGTGTATAGTCGACCCGGTTGAACCTTTCGGCATTCTGGAAGAAATCAGCTATCATAAAGTCAAAGGCTTCGCAGTCCTCAAGGCTGTTTGGGTTGTCTGTGGTGTTGCAGTCGTTGGCAACAACATTGATAGCATCACCGTACAATGCAGGTGCAACTCCCAGCTCCACATTGAGCTGAATGCCATCCTGATCCGCATAAACGAGCATGCGCTCCAGTAGCTCAATTTCGAATCCATGATAAGTTCCGTCCTCGTCGAGCATGGCGTATGCTGGTGCTAGTAAAACACCTGCTGTCAAGTTAATGGTGGTTGGGATTTGCAGAGAGTGTGGCTGCCCGTACGAGCCCAAGGCCAGCAGCCAGGGGCCGAGAGCGGCAAAGATCACTTGCCATGAAGGACGAATCATCATCTAATAAGCTCGCTGGGGTCCTCTTCAAAAAACCGAGGAGAACAAGAGAGTCTCGGAACTAGTAGCTGGGATGTTGTTGGTGGGCTTCGACTATAATAACACCACAACAGCAAGAACGTGACACTGGGTGCGAGGTTCGTGTCGCTGCGTCGCTGCCTCCATTATTTTATTCCTTGTCTTGTTTGGACGTTTCGATGCATCATATGCTTCGACTGACAACGAATCTAAATGCATGGTTGAAGCTACGACATTCTGGTCCATAGCTCGCAGGCAGCAGAGTTTCCTTTAGAAAAAATCAGATTTTGGGATAAGGGTCAATTGTCGCAGTCATTGTTCGCGAGAATGACCGTAAATGTTTACTGTACTTTATTAATAGACCAAATTATAAAATGAAAAGACTTAATAGCGTTTTCTTAACTCTTTGCTTCTTGGGTTGACTAATGAGGGGTATTTTTGGTGCATTTCATATTTAACAAAGGCCGCTTCACTTAACGGCAAAAGCAATCTGTGTTTGTCCGTGTGACACCAGTACATTTTTCACGTTTCAAGATCAAATCCATTATTTAACCAAGCTGTACAGTACCCCGTGCTCTACGCTACTCAGTATTATCTAATTAGTACTCAGTGTAGGTTTTAGCTGCAAATACTCCGAGTAGAGTACAGTGGCTAGTATAGTACATGTCAGTAACTGTTTCGACGACACGCGACTTGAGTCACTCAGTCACATTTTGGGTGGCGCCCAGACTGCATACGAACCTTCAGATAGTTGGCTAACCAGCTGAGCTGTCTTTGTTCGAGTCTAGTCGAATCTCATTCAATTCGAATTCCAATTCGATACCTACATTCAATCACCACTTCCTGGTACCGGGTCTAATACTCTACCCAACCTACCGAGAGCTAGCTAGCCAGCTGCAAGTCAGAGAGCTATCCGTCTACTAACCTACTGTAGACGGTACTACTCTATGATTTGTACCCGGTACGGTAGCTAGCTAGCTACGAGGTAGATACCGCTAACGAGCTCCGCGGCAGGTTGCAGACGTTCCGAACATCCATAGAAACAGAGACGCACACTCACAACATCAACCACCGCGAAGCTTGCAACTCCTTGAATGCTCGTTCCGAGAGATTGTTCAGTCGAGATCGAGAGTTGCTTCGACTGCAAGCAGCGCTACCGGTAGCAATACGTTGGTCGACTACAGATGAATTAGAGTCCCAAAGTGCCAACCTTGTCTTGGTAACTTTGCTGATCGCCGCTCGAATTGCAAGTTTCGGAGCAGGCTTTGGGCCCTGGTAGGAAGAAGGACCTCAATGACGTTACCGCCTCAAAGCCATACCGGCACGGTAGTCTGCACAACATCTTACTACAACTCTCGTACAGCAGGAGGGAAAAACTAGGCATGCAGCATGGACTAAGTTTATGCCGACCTAACCTACTCGGCGCAGCGCCAAGACAGTATCCTTCCTCGTTGAAGAAGGATAGAGCATACATCCGGCCTGATGGAGTCGTCGTTTGATGGCTTTGGTGGCTGATCGCAAGTGCCATTCCCTCCATTCGTAGATCGGATTATCGTCACGCATCTTGTTCTAATAATGTGTACGTGCAACCACGAGTGCAATGATACAAGTATGGAAGGTTCAAACCCCAAAAGTTTCAGTTGACCCAGTCGAGAGGACCTAGCGATGTTCGTGCGAGCAAATCCCGAAAACTCTTCGCCGCCACCTCCTATGGCTCTTCAATCTTTTCTTCCAAATTTAGCGTCTCTCCTGTGGTCCCAGCGTCAGATTTCCCTTGTTGCATCCATTGGAGAGAACTGGTTGTTGTCAGACTGCTTCTCTGCTTCGAAAGACTATCTGCCTTCATTCTCTTGGAGAAGTCCTGAATGCCTCTTTCAATAGTTTGAGCACTGGTGAATCGATTGGCTCGGTTGTTCATATCCCATATGTAGACACGGGAAATAAGGCTGCCAAAGACGAGACCGACCACCATGATATCATTCAACCACACCACAAGCGATCTGACAAAAAAACCTGATACAGGGTCCTTTCCCACAATGATCAGGACAGGAATGGCAATCACAAAGATCTGAAGATTGGAGAACATAGCAATAGCAATATACTTGCTGCTGCTGAACTCCTCTGGAATGTGTCTGGCACGGTAGCACATAAAGCAGGCAACTGCCATGAGCACAAGGTGGACAACTCCAATGATTGAAGCAAACGCTCTCCAATGGTCAGAGTGGCAATAGCCAACACTTTCAAGCGGTTCCCCAAACTTATCAGAGCTGATTGTTTCTCTTGTCCATTCAAGTGGGTCCACAGCAGTCCACACAACCAGGATGACAATGTCAACTGCCAAGACAACACAGACCCAGCCAAGTGTTTCTTTAGTAGAAAGCGTCACACGGCGCATTTCCACTGCGGATCTCACCAGGACATAGACTCGCCAGATCCTTGCAAACAGGGAACCAAATGTAATACAGAACCCAACACTGTACAACCAGGGCACAGCCATGCAACTTCCCTCCTGGGCCTGCCATTAGTGAAGCAGGACAAATAGTTGTAAATCGAAAGTGAGATATAGCACAAGAAACAACAGGAGGAATTCATTCCTCTAGAGATGGGTGGAAACAGGCCTCACCATGGCAATAATGGTGGAAGTGCTAATGACTGCCCCGAGCAGAACAAGTCCAAGGAACACCGGTTGTGCAGCTTTGAGCTGAGCCCTGTTCCGATTATAGAGAACCCATATGGCACATCCCAGCGCTGTAACAAATGTGATTGCAACCAAGGTGTAGACAGTATTGACCAGGCCTGTTGGCAGCAGATTGAGGTTTTCTTCTACAGCAATCGAGCAGTCATCTCCGGTCCACTTGGTGGAGTGGCAAACACAAACCCCGTGAGCATCCGCAAAACCGTGCTCTGTTGGATGAATCGAATCAGCAAGGAGACGGGACAGGGATTATTTATCAGGCACCAAGGCAGTACGGTAGAAGGAGGCTCCATGTTGCAACTTACCGGCATCACAGGGGAGTTCACAGTTTTCGCCAGCAGTTCCAGTGGGGCATGTTGCAACTTCAAAATATTTCTTTCGAAGCACTTCAATATCACCGTTGCTTCCACCTTGGTACATCCATTTCTTCAAAAGCCAAGAAACCTCAGGCTGTAGATTTTGCTTCAACGCCCACACAAAGTACTGTGGCTGAATATTCTCTTGGGTAACATCCATGGTAGAGTCATACTTTGCCATGTATTGCAACACCATCAGGTCATCTGCCAGTAAGGCACAGTTTCCATCTTTAAGAAACTGGATACATTCCTCGGTTTCAGGAGTAGGACAAGGTACTGTCTGGGCCGTTGGCATGTAGGCATGGACGAGAGATTCGATGAAACTTGATGGTGGGTAGCAAATTGTGGCACCGGCCTTCTCGGCATCACTCAGGGACTTGATCTGACTAGTGCCGCTCTGTTCGAGGTACTTCAGCACTCCCAATCCACTGTGTAGCCAAGTTGGTGTAAAGTCGACCCGTTTGAACCGTTCGACATTCTGGAAGAAATCGCCTATAATAAAGTCAAATGCTTCACAGTCCTCGAGGCTGTTTGGGTTGACTGTGGTGTTGCAGTCATTGGAAACAAGATCGATAGCCATATCGTACAATCGAGGCGCAACTCCCAGCTCCACGTTGAGTTCAATGCCATCCTGATCCGCATAAAATTGCATGCGCTCCAGTAGGTCAATCTCAAATCCATGAAAGGTTCCGTCCTCATCGAGAATGGCAAATGGCGGTGTTAGGAAAACACCTGCTGTTAAGTTAATGGAAGTTGGGAATCGCAGAGAGTGTGGCTGCCCATAGGAGCCCAATGCCAGCAGCAACGGGCCCAGAAGGGCAATGATTGCTTGCCATGAAAGGCGAAGATTGATTGTTTTGAATATCATCATCATCTGTCTCTGTCAATTCTCTGACTGGATCCTCTGATTTGGATAAGGGAGAACAAGGAGTCTCGGTACCACTGGCTGGGCTATTGTTGGTGGGCTTTGATAACAGCAACAACGCTGTTCCTGGTAACACTGGTTGCAAGCTCTTGTCGATGCACCGGTACATTTTGCGTTCATGCAGGAAGGGCTTGTTTTGACGTTTCCGTTGAAAATGGTTCATTAAATGATTGGTTGAAGGTGAAACTTTCAACGACGACGCGACAATCAGTCACACATTTCTCAGTCATGTGCCGCCCAATGACTGCATGCACACGAAGCTTACAGTTTGTTAACTAGCTGAGCGGCCATTAATTCGAATCTTAAAATCGTATCACGACTCCCTCTACCAGGTACTACCAGTAGCTAGGTTGCATACCGGTATTTCCTATGGGGATGAGCAAACTTGCCCATGGCTCTGTGTTGAATTTGTTAGAGCGTTTTTGTAAAAATTGTGTGCGCTAAGCCAATCTTTTACTTTGGCTGTTTTTCTCTATTGGATTAGATTGGATTGCATTGGATTAGATTGGATTGCATTGAATTAGAGTTTACTATATAAATAACAGTACTATTTGGAATCCAATTCAATCCAATTCAACGCAATCCAATCCAATCCAATCCAATTAAATTTATCTTCCGGCAAAAATACGAATTTTGTCTTTTTAACTGATTTTGGCGAGTCACACTCCAATACAATACAGGGCTATTGCAAATTTTGCCCATCCCCTATCAAAAGTCTAGGTACAATCTAGGTACATGTAGTTGATTCAGTAGGTGCAGTAGCTATCTAGAGCTAGCTGGTGTGCTGGTATCTGGTATTGGTGTTGCAATCAATGATTGAATAATCAAGCAAATGAAAGCCCCCGGTTGCCGTATGCTGATGAGGAAGCAGTTAAATTCCGCTACACGCAGCATAGCTAAGCATCACGAGCTTGGTATTTTCATGTTCTCAGAGCTGAGCTGATGCCATCAACTCTTGGTTTTCGACTTTCTCCCTTCAAGGTCCGCCAAAGAGGAAATCCAAAGCTCACTTTCTACTCAGTATGCTTCTGCAGGGTCAGACAGGAAATCCAAGGCTCTACGTACCGGTTGCCCACGGCTGCATCATGTAGATTGAACTAATAAGGGATCCAACAAGTTTACCATAGATTCATCAGAAGGGTAGAGCTTTGCACGAGATGCTACAGTACGACTGTATCGGTACCACCAGGTAGACTAGCTAGATCTAGTCTACATGTTGTAGAAGGGAAAAATCTAAAACCGTCCAAAATGTTTGGGTTGGGGTTATCGTTTGTCAGACCCCCACCGAGCTTGCGAGTTTGCCCCCACTCCTTTACTGTTCTGAGATGCCGTGCCGGTATATTCTGAGAGATTGTTCTGTCGAGAGTTGCTTCTAACCGTGTGGAAGGCAGTGTCTAGCTAGCTACTAGTAGAGGACTTGCTTCCTGTCACTCTGGATAGTATTTGGCAGCAGAGTCACTAGCTATGAATGAACCTTCCAGTTGCTCGGAGTCCAGCGACGACGAGACAACTAATGAAGGCCCTGTTTCTGCTTCGTTGCTGTTGTGGGAGGCTTACCGTTCCTTTGTGCATCGCCATCGAGTCTCATTGGAGCTGTTGGATGCTGGAATTTCTCGAATTTTGTTTTGGAGTCCAACAAGTGGCGAACAACAGAAGCGACGGGAAGTATTTTATGGCATTCTGTCCCTGCATCGACTGGCAATGGACACGGCGTTGCAACAACAGCAGGACGACGCACAGCAAGAAGATTTTGGAACGACAGTGAAACCAAATCAAACTACTACCCGACAAGAGGATTCCGTGCTGCCGTCTCCCACGGCCATTCGAGTCTCGTTGACCATCATTCAGTGTCTTTTGCCGTCCATTTTGGAACTGGCCTCTTCGGATGATGAGACCACCAAAAGCAACCGACAAGCACGAGTACGGCTCCAAATAGAACGCGTCAAATTTGCGCTTCGATTGACGCTGTTGGGATCCTATTGGAAACAATTGTTGCCAGATCAAACGCAAGAAAGAGATATGCAAGCATCCTCTTGGAATACGAAACCCATGTCCATTGGCATCTTGACCGATGGCGGCCTGTTTCATGGAGCAATCACCAGTACAGCAGCCGAAAATATCCCTACGGTCCAGCAAGAAGATATGGAATGGGAAAAACTTCACTATGTTGGAAAACGAACGGGGCGCAAAGTCACTAGAAGAACCATGCAAGGGGGGGATAGCCTGTACACATCATCATCATTATCATCACAAAGCCTCTCCTTGGCTCTCTTGTCGCCACAAATTCACAACAATCTACGTCTCGTTTCCGTCATTCTCGGAGAACTCCTCTACGCCTATCGACCATTGTTTTGGGCATCCGCCGAAACTGTCTCCGACCCAGCTTCGTATCGGAGTTGGTTGCTGTCCATGGTCATGGATGTCGTGTCGTTGCGAATGGCTGCCAGCCAATCGAGTGTCGCCAACCAAGCCACGCAACAAGAATTGCGACGGCGCAAAATGAGACTCTTGCTCTATTTGCTGCGGGGGCCATTCTGGAATGATGCCACTGGACCTGCCACGGACCGAGTGGAAGCTGTGTTGGACAAGGTGCCACTATTGGGGAGACTGGTGTCCACCTATTTGAGAGATTGGCTGTGGTACATGAAACATCCATACGTGTCGGAGGAAGGATAGTAGCTTGGTGAAGAGATGCAGTTGCTAGCTAGCGTTTTTGATGGCTAGAAAACACAATTTTGAAACAACACAACTGCTCTCTGAAGTAGGGCTTATTTATGTATCATGACTGTGCCCGCACTGTGGACCCTCGGCTTCCCCGGTTTGCCCCGTACGCACGCTGATTATTCGATTCAGGCAGCAACCGAGGGGGGGCGCCGCATTCCCAGAGATCCTCTACGCTTCCGGCGTGGATCTTTTCCTTTCTTTTTCCCCGTCAGTTGAGATGCTTTGCTTCCCTTGCGAGGGGCTTGAGAGTCGCTTCCCTTTGGTAGTCCCAGGGATCCTCTTCGTCCCTTGCGTGGTACTTCAGCCACGTTGTTGCTCGCCATGTGTCCGGCCAGGAGAGAGGATCCTTTTCCTAGAGATCCTCGGCGTCCTCTTCGTGGAGTTTGGTGAGAATCACCGCTGTCCAATCGGATGATTCGCGAGCCCACAAAACCATTCGTGTCGCAGCCCTGTTGGTTATTGTCTCCGTCCCAGGATAGGCCGGAAGGGGTCCGGCTGAGACCTCCCCGAGGTCCATCCGCGCTCACGTTGGAACGAGTGCGGCTCAGACGGCGACGAGACGTATCACTATTGCTACGTCGACTGCCACTCGTTCGACGACCACGACGAGGGAATTGTGATCCGGCTCCATTGGTCTGTGTACTCTCAACGCTGTGAGTACTGGCAGCAGAAAGGACACTATCCCGCTTGGCTACCGCCTCTTCTTCTTGCTCCTTCTTGCTGCTGTCCACGCTCGTGGATCGTTGACGCATTTTGAAAGATACAGAGGGAGTTAGTTGAGGTGGATCGGCGGGTGCGGAGTGTTCCATGGAGGCTCTCCGACCACGATTCACTCGAGCAAGTCCACTGATGCTGGTGCGTCTTCCTGTAGCTATGCTGTTTCGTCGGCGTGTAGCATAGTACGAGGAGGGATCAAAGGCATCACGAGAAGCGGCCGAAGAGTGGACACTAGCAGAGACGACCTTGTCACCGTAACCAAGAGTAGCATCATCAGGAACGGCAACTTCATAGCCCAACGAGGCTGTCTCGCCGTACCCGAGATCAGGTGCTGCATCCCCGTAGCCCAGGTCTTTGGTACTACCATAACCCAGGTCCTCCTTCGCAGGTGCGACGGCCTTATCTTGAGAAGCTACATAGGCGGAGTTGTTTGCAGAACCACCAAGAATGGATCGTCGAACAGGCATTCGCTGCTGTGCCCGTGTGCCCAGGTCTTCTGTGCCGCCATAACCCAATTCCTCCTTCCCAGGTGTCGAAGCACTAGTGGGAGTCGTTGTGCTTGAACAGTCACCGAAAATGGATCTTCTGACAGGCATTCGCTGCTGTGCACGGACGCCTGTATCGTGTTCTTCTTCTTTCTCGTCGTCGTCATCATCATCATAGTCCACCGAGTCATCATCGTCTTGGTACGATTCGCTGTTGCCCAGCAAGGTCTCACTGTGCCCGGGACCTTCACTACTTTCACATCCAGCAAAGGAAATCGAGACAGTGGAGCAATAGGAAGCTTCCGATTCGTCATCAGTATCTGGGGTCAATGGAGTGTTCCGGTTGTACATGTATGTCGGTGTTGTCTTGATGCTTCGTCCGCTGTTGCTGAAAGGAGAAGAGGCCACTTGTAAGGGACGGGAAGTGCCAGTGCTATGATTGCTCTTCTTCGTCATCAAAGAAGAGAAAGATGAATCCATTGGTACATGAGCCATGGATGCCCGACGCTGTTGTTGGATCCACTTTTGTTGGAGCGCGTTCCGGTTTTGGCTGGGGCTGTGAGAAGATACAGACAGCAAACTTTTGCGGCTGTTTCGAGCATGGGACGTCAATTTGTCCAGACTGAATCGCTCATCAGGAACGCCGTAGCCAAAGGAGCGAACCGAGGATGTTGACGACGTTTGACGGGAAGAACGGCAATCGTTCGATCCGCTGTCATAGCGATAACGAGCCTGATGGGACGACTCTTCGTCCATCGACGGAGTGATAATATTATGAAAGGACCTGCTGTTGTTGCCGCTGCTGCTGAACCCCATGTTGTCAGAGTCCTCCTTCCAGTAGTCTTCATCCTCCTCATGGTCGGCGCCGAAATCAAAATGGATCTTCCTGGAGCTACCCAAACTCCTCTCACTGAGTTCACTCAAGTTGCTGTTGGTCCGGCCAATTGACCAACGACGGCTGCTGCCACCAATATCGCCCAGAGACTCGACATCTGCCGGATGCGTGGAATAATCAATCAATCGTCCAACCAATGTTGTCATGGTGCTGAAGTTTCTTGTGGTCGTTTGTTTGACTGAGAGCTGAGAGCTAATAATAAGAACAAAAATAAAAATGAGCTCATTTCAAAACACTCTTGGTTGTCGAATCAAAACCCCTTATATATCTCAGTTCTCAGTGTGACTTGGTGTGTGTCTGAAATGCCTGCTCTTAAGTCACAATTCTACCAAGTCTTATCCCTTGAGGTTTTCAACAGGACACACCTTCCCCATCTGGCTTGTTGCCCTGTTGCTGAAACGCTGGCTGGAACGTCCGAACACCGCTTGGAGCCATGAGCCTCGACGATAGTCCTATACCTCCTCTACCAGGTACGCTCGGTGCTGGGATCAGCACCACAACCAAACATCCCACCTGGCCAGCTGGAACATGGCATTGGCAACTGAGAATTCAATGAATTAATTGTTTGCACTTCTTGAGGAGGGTCCTAGTCAGTCAGTCCATGCAGGGATAATCCTATGTCCCACAAGGTTTTGATGGGAGCCTTGCTTTTGGGAAAAGAGCAACTTCGGTAGCTCAGCTGATCAGTACCGGTACATGTACTGGTAGTTGAGATCATGATATATTATTTTGCAAAAGATAGAGTGAGAACTCTTGACTTTCTGGAGAACACAACTCTCTGGCTTCTCGAATCTTAACCCCTTATATCTCAGTGTGAACTGCTGTGTGTCAGTAATGCAAAATGTTAAGTCCCAATTCTCCCAGGTCTTATTCGTCCACTTAACCCTGAGGTTTCCAATCCTGTTTTCTTCTGTTGCCTGTTGCCTGTTGCCTGACTTCTGCTTTCTGCTTTGTTACGCTGAAACAGGCAACCTCCGAACTCCAGGCTCGCAGGAATCCAAGGACCAGCCACGCGACGAACGCTTGCTTGGTGCTTGGTGCCGGGGTGAGCACCACAACTAAACATCCCATATCCCATTAGCTCATTAGCTGGAAGATGGCATTGGCCACTGAGAATTCAATGAATAGTTGACGCTTCTTCAGGGTCCCAGTCAGTCCATGAAGGCGTATGAAGGAGAATCCTCTATATCCCACATTGATGGGAGCCTTGGGAAAGAGCTAAAATCAATCGGTATCCTTTTATCCTTTTCCAATTTCTGTTGGTGGCAGCAACTTTTTGAATAGTTAAGCTTCTCCAGTGAAACTTTGTGAAACTGAGGCAACCCCACCGTATGCTCCCTCTTCTGGAGTACACATACCGCCAGGAACAATGTTGCAACTGCAACAATATGTCCGTTGGCAAAGTATACTGAGTAGATTTCAAAGGTAAGATTCCTCAAATGTGTTGCCTTGCACTCTCAAGGATGTAATTCCTGTGATACCTTTCTTGGAACTTGTCCTTGTAGGTGGATCGTTGATATAAATTCAGTTTTGATCATTGATGTCAGCAGTCCAAACTTTGTAGAGACTGGCCCATTCATTTGAATAGTGCAAAAAAAGAGTCAATGTTGTCAATACCCCAACATCTGTTGGAATCCAGCTTGGCGGTTGGTAATGCTCTCTCAAAATCAACTGTGTTGGCGCTGCCAGCAAGCCAACTTTTGAGGGAACTGACCCCAAAATTGGTTTTGCCACAAAACCAGATACACCGTGCAACCAAGGATGTCGTCAACCCAAGCTCAGAGGGGTTTATGCCCCCTTCTGTCAGCAAACCAAGCTCTATGGTAACAGAACGGGCCATTTCCAGGCCAGTCAGTAAGCTGAGATCCCAAGGCAAGTGGCCTGGGAAGAAGAATGGGCAACAAAAGGCAATCAAAAGTAAAAAGATACATTCAACAACACCACTCACAAGTAGCCATTTGCCTGTGAAGACGTTGGTACTGAAGAAATGCAATCCTGGAAGCCTGTCATGGATGGCAAAAGAGCATGGGAATGGTACTAGAGAGCCCTCTGGACTGAAAGATTCAATCTCCATTCTAGCTAGGGCCCATCAAAGAGTTCCCAAATGGTGTGACTGTGGCTCCTACAATAAGCTGATGGGTTTCCGTGTAGGAGCTGTTGTGGTGGTGCATCATGTTGCAAAAGCAGGCTTAGCTAACGGGCCACCAGCTAGACACTAAGCCAGGGAGGGAAGAAGTCAGTGAGGAAGTCTTAGCCCAATGTTTATTTGTTTATCATTGTATGAATCTATCCAATGCCGGTTGGCTGGCTAGCTATTAGCTTAGCAAGCAGCTCTTAATCAAGTTCACATTCGCTTTTTGTTTCATGTGCCCTTTTAGTAGCGATCCTCTGCGTCCCGGGTTGCTGCTGTCCAGTCGGATGATTCGTGACCCCAAAAAAGCGGCGGTATCCTGTTTGTTTTTCGTCGTTCCAGTTGTGCGTTCGGTGCTATTATTGTTGGCACAAAAGTCGCGACGAGCGGCACTACTATCAGCGCTCATGTTGGAGTGCATGCGACTCAAACGATGACGGTCAGATTCGTCGCAGCTCATGCTACGACGGATTCCACGGCGAGCCATGCTCCCATCAATGGAATGGCTGCTGTCGTCGACTCCAACACCACTTTCCATTTTAATAAAGCTGGTAATGGAATACGTGCCCCGATCTTGTGTCTCCTCCTTGCTACTCGTGGAACGCCGGCGCATTTTAAACGACACGGCTGACCGTGTTGGTTGCTGCGGCTCTGTGGTGGGAGAAGTCGTGGAAGAAGTGTGTTCCATGGATGCTCTTCGACCACCACCACGATGGACTCGTGCCAGTCCACTGATACCACTGTTGCGGCATCCTCCAGTACTCATGCTGTTTCGACGGCGTGTGGCATAGTAGGATGCAGGGTCAAACACCTTGTTGTGAGCATTAGTAGTGAGTGGCATGCCATTGGTGCTACTAGGAGACGCATCTTCATACTCCAACGACGAGACTTGATTGGGAGCCTTGCTGTTGTCCAGTTTCATATCCCCGTATCCCAGTTCTTCAGTTGCTGTAACCGTAGTTTTGGCGGGCAAAGTGCCGCCATATCCCAGTTGCATCTCGCTATTGCTATTGCTACGGCTATTGCTATTGCCATTTTTGGATTGGCCATTGCTGTTCTTGCGAAGGAGACAAAGTCGCTGTGGCAGCCGTTGCTGTGCAGGGGCACCATCATGCACGTCCTCATCGTCGTCATCATCATCGTCATCATCATCATTATCATCATCATCATCATCATCATAGTCCACCGTCTCGTCGTCATTGTAGGACTCCGATTCGTCACTGATGGAAAGCGTGTTGGATGTGCTGGATGTGTTCCGTTTCTCGCCGGCATGATGATCATGTGAGCAGGATTTGCTGCGTTGGCTGCTGATGCTGTTGTTGCTTCGAGCCAACTGCTGCAGACTGAATCGTTCATCAGGGACTCCATAGCGGTAGCCACAGCTGGAGCAAGCGGATGAAGCGGAGTGGTGAAACGATCGGCTGTTGTGGCCACTGCTGTTCCCACCAGTTCCCTTATAGTCGGAATCGTTAAACCAAAAGTCATCTGCAAGGCCTCCTTCCGAAAAATCAAAGCTGATTTCACTCGTTTCGCTCATGCTGCTGTTCGTTCGCTTCACCAATCGGCGACCAATACTGCTGTTGCTGCCGCCGCCAATACCATCTACTAGAGCCTCGACGTCTGCCGAGTGGCAAGAGTAGTCAATCAATCGCTCCAACATCCTGGTCTATCTCGTCTCGGTTTCTTCCCGTTTTATGAGACGATTCTTCGTGCATGTCGTTGGAGGTGGGTTGGAGGGAGGAGGGAGGAATGAAGAAATCGATTCCCACGCTAAGTCGCTATAAGTGGGAACCACAAGACGTCACTCGTACTTTGAACGAAACTTTCTGTACACATGCCTCTAAGGAATTAAAGGCAATCAATAAAGACCCAATAATGACTTATCGAAACAACACCTTGTGACCTTTGTGCTTCGGGTCTTATCGACTCTTTTGCCCTCGCGCAGCTTTGTGGCCTCAAAGCTCGAAGGCAAATTCCAGGAAGTCGTCACTAGCTAGCTCTAGCTAGCTACTGTACAGTAGCTAGCTAGCTCGCGGCCCACTCTTGGTTCACCTTTGGAGCTGTAGTCTAGTTTGTTGCTAGTGCAACTGGAAAGGACGCTTACTTTGCAAACACACACCCCACACCCCACCGATAGATGATGAGCCCAGAGTGGAGTCTTACCAAATAAATCTTTTGCCCTCCTACCGTATAGCCTCCAAGCAGAAACAAGAAGTTGCTTTGACACAATGTCACCTTTGAGGATGCATCGTTTGGCTTCGGACCCACAATATCTATGTTGCTTCCACGTCAGGCTGTTGAATAGTAAAAACAACTTCATCCCCTTGACATTGATTGTGGCACCAGGCCAGGTCAGCCAGGCAATTGCACCTCACTACTGGAGTAAATCTTACGACTGATGAGGGCATGGACAGAGACTGGTCTCCCTCTAATTCTCCACCAAACAAGCAAACATTGGAAGCAACCAAGCACTGCATTACCACTGTTTGCTTACTCACTG